TCGCTTCTGATCGACCAGGTGTCGGGCCAGTGATGTCGCTGCTGGCCACGCCGCCTCGATTTTTATCGCGATCTCTTCCGCCGGGGGATCCAGCGCTGGCAGGTGCGCCAGACTGCCGAGCACCGCCCTGCTGCGCCGCCGAGTCGCCCGCTATGGCCGAGAGGCCTGCTCGCCCGCGCGGGGTGGAGGGCGGCGACGGCGACGGGGCGCGCGGGCGCACTTCGCAGCCTTCAGATTCTCTGCGGCCCAAGGCTACGCTGTGCAAGCGCGGTCGGTGCGATGATCAGAAGTGTCGAGACTGCCCGCGCGAACCGAGACGCTGGGCCACGCGTTCGTCGAGCGCCCAGAGTTGACATCGGTTGCTCGACGATGAGGAGGACTGTGGCCTGGATCCGAAGTCGGCCGCGGCTCGCGACGCCATGATGGAGCAAGGGCCTATCGGAGAGGGCCGTCAGGATATTGACTCGTTTGCGATTGCGATCGGGATTCCCCGGCGGCCCAACGCAGAGGCGCCGCGGCAGCCGAGCGACCCGCCTTGTTTTTGAGTGGGGCGGCTGCGATTCGCCCAGCGCAGACTTGAAGCGATGTTTTTTACCGAAGGTTCAGGATCTCGCAATGATGTCCCAGAGTTGCATCGGCGTGGCTGGTCAGCCGGCAGGCTGAATGCCAATGGACTCCCCGTGCGCGCTGTGTGCGGCGGGCCCGCAGGCTCGCGGCAGACTGTAGGGCGAGCAGAGAGAGCGGCTGGACTGAGGGCGTTGCAACACATGCCGCCGGCCAGGCCCAGTGTCAGCGATTTTCTCGGGTTCGCGAGCGAAGGGGAGCTTCTGCCCTGCGCTTAACCGAGATGGAAAGATTCCTTCGTGCGGTATGGCGCTCTTCGGGCGCGCTGCGCCCCTCGTCTGGCACGAGAAGAATGACGAAAACATAAAACATGTTGGAATTGAAACAGAACCACGAAACAAGAGGATGTTTATTTGACACAAAAACGCGACACCTCTGAAAAACGATGCTTGTGACGAATTTGAAACTGAAAAGCGATGCTTCTGAAAAACGATGCCCGTGAGAACCATGCCTCGGAGAAAACAATTGAGATCGCGGCGTCGGATGTCCCGGGCAGAAATGGATGGGAAAGAAGGGAGGAGAAGCAGGAGGAAGAGGATGAGGATGAGGAGAAGAGTGGCGGAAGAGAAGAATAACAAGAGGGGCCCGGAGTGCAGTGGCAGTAGAATTTAAAGGATGGGGGCAGTGTCGCGTTGACGTAGTGACAGCACATGAAGCAGCACATGAAGCAGCACCAACAGTCGCAAACACATCTTATGTATGTTATGTATGTTATTCTTATGTCCAGTATCAATTGGACATATGGGTGCACACCAGTGCTAAGTTGCCAGATCAGTAGAAGCGGCGTATCAGCCGTTGTAATAGTTGCAGTAGAGAGTGGTTGTACTGGTTGAACATGGTGGGCACGCTGAGAATGGTTTTTGGCAGTCCTGGGGCCCCGAGGATAAAAGATTTTGCATGTCCAGAAAACGATGTTTGGAAACGATGGGGAAACGGTTTTGACATGTGCTGGGGTGTAGTAAGCGTCGTCGTTCGATCGCTTGGCCAAGCGATAGCGAAGGCGCAACCCATGCGGGAAGGCAACGAATTGCCGTTAGGGAGGAAACCTCCTCCTCCCTGT